ATTCCAAAACAATATTTTCAAGTTAGAGACGGAGCAGCAGCTTGAGACGAATCCGTGGTTTGGAAAAGGCCCAATAGATAAAAACAGGATCTGGTGACCTGCCTCTTCGTGTACAAACCCGTTGAAACAAGACAAGGTGTAGTTTGTGCTACCTTCCCAGGGTTCATTACCAAAACGCGAAGTATGCGCATCTGCAGCCTAGCCTGGCTGTTGATATTAACAGTACTTATAGGGCGTGTAGCTGATTAACATTCAATCCATGGCAGTAGCGCACTGAAGGCCAGTACATGGAAGCATTAACTGGTTTTCCTGTCGTCTGTGAGTGAATCCTCACATCTTCCTTCACCACCAACCGACTACCAAGATGCCGCAAAAGACCATTCAGGATTTGGATGCCTACATTAAGGCGACAGCCGCCGTGTACGACCACTCCAACACCAAACTCGTCAGCAGGAAGACTAAAGTCAGCAGGCGTAGGAAGGAAGCGTTTCTTTCTGTGCTTCCATACAGGAAACCGTCGTCTCATTACCACTCCCATGAGAGAAAGACATCATCATCATCATGGATTACCCGCAAACCAAGAAGTAAACCTGCAAATGAAAGGTAAGAGACAGTGTAAAGGATATTCCTAAAAGAAAACTCCAGCTCTCTAAAAGCACGTATGTAAGTTTTTGGAGACCTTAACTCGATGTCACATCTCCGGGATTGGCCCTCCTAGAGATTGACCTTTGGCAATCCCACCAATGCATACAATGACCAGCATTCGGAAACACAAAGGGAGGTGATGCTTCAATTCCCACTATAGCAACAATAATTTAACAATATATTAACGAAATTTAAAAGCAAAATTAAATGCAATGTATTGAAATTTGAAATGTCTGCGTGTACATGTTCATACATCTCTCATTTGAATAACAGCGTAAGTACAACGATGAGGCATCAATCTGCTTAAAACGTCTCGTCATTTTTTTTTGCAATGTGTGCCACAGTGCCACACAACTATTCATTGACTTATTTATTTTGTTGGCTACTTCTATTTTCTATTGTCTGTTTCTTTCTTGAACTTGTATAAATTAACATTCATAAAACATGTTTTTTTTTCTTCTAATTTAAATTTTGTTCCATTTCTTTCTTGAATTCCTACATAAATATATACATATATAAAAATGTGCTCCTTCTCTTCCGTGGTTCTGTTTTATTTCTTTATGGAACCTATGAGCATGCATACAATTTGGCTTCTTTCTCTTCAGATGTTTTGTTCTATTTCTTTTTTGAACCTCATATATAAATATATACATATATAAACTCGGCTTCGTTCTCATCTGATATTTTGTTTTAGTGAACACTAAACACACTTTTTGTTTGTATACATTTACACATTCCTTTTGCCTTCTTCGTTCGCTCATCCCGAGAGCCAGCAATGATTTGCTACAAAACAATACATGTGAATATATTTATCTTGAGTGGTTCGCCTTTGAGATTACAGCACAAAATCAAACCGGATACCTGATACCCTTTCAGTGTTCTACAGCGTTAAGCATAACACCTTGTCTTTAGATATCTCTCTAATTTCTGCCACTCTTCTGGCTACATACTTCGCCAACATAGGGTCACAGAAGTGGACTGCCTTGTCTACTTTATTTATGAGGAGTGGAAGTATGAGGGGCGGCGATGAAAAGCATGAAAGAGCCGATCTAGGTGACAGTGGGAGTCAGTGTAGTTCTTAGCAGAAGGCAAGGAGTTCTACATCTTGAGACTCTTTTGGGTCCTCCAAGTATGGGGGAGATGCGCGTGGGTGACTGTGTATTAAATCCGTTCTCAGAATGGAAGTGTGGGCAGCCCTAAACTTTCATCATCTTATGCATCCCACACACGAATCTCCTCAGCCGTGAATGCCGAATACTCGTCGCCCAACTGATGCTGGGCAACAATATGATTTCGTTCGTTCTGTGCATATACATTTCATTGTACGGCACCTAAATTGTTGTAACATTACAATCTAAAACTGCTCACTGCTGCTCTGCGTGGTGCGTTTTTCTGCAATACCCGAATATCAGGACATTTGCTGGGCAATAATTCCAAAAGTACATTACTGTTAATCGGGTCAAACTGCTGTGCGTCACTCGCAGCAGAAGGCGTTAACAGTAAAAGAGAGTAACTGCCCATTAACGGACATCGTTGAGCGGTTTTATCACTTAAAGGGAATGTACAACATTTACTTTTGTTGCAATTTTCAGAAAACACTGGATTTGGAGGATGAGCTTGACATAGTAAATATTGTTAAACTGACTTGTTTCATGTTTTGGGCTTGTAGATGCTGGAAAAACCAAGAAAACCAGTCATGTTCTTGTAGTCTGGCTCCCTGACCCCACTTAAGATGAAACGGATCAATTTATAGACTTTGGGGAATTGTTAGGTCGAAGAATCAGTCTAGCAGGCTTGTACCTCTTCACCGGTGTGTAATCAATTGCAAAGAAAATGCGATATGAAAAATTAGGTACAGTTTTTGAAAAAAAGCCAGTTTTGTTCCAACGCTGGTCGGCCGACCAGCGTTGGAAAAATACACTTTTTGTTGAAAATGTCAGCACACCAGAAGCCAAGATTTTACAGGATGCTTTAGACTGTCATTCCCTAACAATTCAGTAAGGTATTCCGTGATAATTTGATCATTTCGTGTTTTTATGTTTGCAAATGTTGTATCTTCCCTTTAACGCTTCACAAAATGACTCTCCCTCTTCAAATTATGTGATACCAGTCATCGAAAGTCATCACACATGCCTTCTTTTCTTTTCTTTTAAACCAACGGCGATAGTTTGTTTTGTTTGTTTAGATACGAGAATGATTTAAGGTTTTTGAGAGAATTGGGCTTCATAAAAAATATCTGTTGACGGATTGATAGAAGACTTTTCCAGGGGACCTTAACACAATGGGTGAAGGAAGTTCCAAATTTGGAAAGATGATTTTGCAGATCGAGGACTATCCACGAAGATTGAAGATCGAAAAGTGAATTTGGTATACACTGTTCAGAACGTTAACAGATTAACAGAAGGAGACCATTTTAATCAGCTAAATAAAAGGAACTTGGTATTGATTGCTTTCCTAAAGTTAAAGTATTTTAAGAAAATTAAATAAAGTGTGTTCTCTTTAGAATTAGTTCGCAAGGATTCTAAAAAGTCGTATCTGGAGGTTTGTCAAGTTGGTTAGTCTAGATATAAAGTTCGAGGCCAATATTATTGGAATACTTTAGCCATACTAAAGTGTTCAGAGGGCATTCTGAAACACATAATAAAGCATTAATCACCTCCATACGAAAGTAGTGGACTTAGAATGTGTCTTTTAAATATAATTTTGTTAAGATGAAACGATTTACATATTTTCGGTTTTAGAAACGCTAAAAATGATCTATTTAAGATTTAACGCGCCTTACACTTCATCTATCTATCAAGTCGGCTCGAGACGTTGCCGTGAGGCCGTCTTGAGGCGGGAACGATGCCTGACGCGCCACACCTCCCTTGACTCCATGCAACTGGCCAACTCCTCCTTCGTCTCGACTCCTGCATCCTGCATCAACGTCATTAACATAGTTGTCCTTGGGCGTTCAGGCTCTCGTCTGCCATGCGTTGGTTCCCAAGCCACGAGCTTACTAGCAGGTAGCTCAGGGTGTCTGTGGCAGTGACCAGCAAGCTGCAACCTACGCGCCTTGATCTTCTCCGTGAGCGCAGGGAGTTTTTCATAGAGCCGAACATTGGTGACGTGGTCCTGCCAGCTAATGTTCTGAACCTTCCTCAACATGCGGGTGTATGTGCCATTCAGTTTCTTAACCATGGTTTTTTTCAGAGTACATGCCTCACAGCCATATAGGAGGATTGTCTCCACTGTTGCTTGAAAGAATTTGAGCTTTAAGGGCTTGGGCATTGAAGATGCCCATATCTTTCCCATGTCGTTTAGTGCTCTCCACGCCAGAGCCTTTCTTACTTTGATGTCCTTCTCAGAGCTTTCCATCCTTGATCCCAAGTATTTGAAGTCCGTCATTAGCTTTAGTGTGGTACCGTTGATGGTCTTAAGAGGCTCATGATCTCCGATCGAGAACGCCATGTATTCCGTCTTCTTGGCATTGAGATGAAGCCCCACTTTCTGGCATTCTGACTCCACTCGGCTGAGAAGCTCTTGCGCTGCTTCAATCTCATCCGACAGAAGAGCTATGTCATCGGCAAAGTCGAGGTCTGAGAGTGTCACCAGTCCGATTCTCCGTGACTTCCTAGGAGTGATAGTGAAGCCCAGGTGTTCGTTATCCTTGAGCGCCCCCCTCATTGCAAAGTCAAGGACAATGATGAAAAGGAAGGGAGCTAAGGTGTCTCCCTGCAACACCCCTGCGAGCAGCTCAAACTCTTCACTGATACCATCCGGTGTGACAACTCTGGCAGTGGTTTTTGAGTAGACAGCTTCAATGGCAGCCAACAGCCTTGGTGGAACTCCATATGCCTTCAAGATGCTGGTCATTTTGCCTCTGTGAATAGAGTCAAAAGCCTTCTTAAAATCGATGAAGGTCATGACAGCACCGAGGTTGAAGTTCTTCACCTCCTCAATGATTCTTCGGAGAGCGAAGACTTGAGCCACTGTCGACCTTTTTGGTCTGAAGCCGTTCTGGTTGTATCTTAGTCTTGGATCAATGGCCCCTCTTATCCGGTTGAGTATGAGCAGATTGTAGATTTTAGCAATGGTACATGTAAGACTTATGCCACGATAGTTGTCAGGAGAGTTTAAACTGGCCGACTTCGGTACAGGAATTATGTGCAACAACGCCCATTGTTCCGGTTTTCCACGACCCATCAGCGCATCATTGCAAAACCCCAGTATTGTTTCCCGGGGGTCACAACACTTCAGCACCTCAGGTGGGATTTCGTTGGGACCAGCACTCTTGCCAAGTTCAAGCGGTGCAATCGCCTCCTCAAGATCCTTCATAGTGAACTCCTCATTATCATTGTTTACGTCATGTAGGACGGTCTCGATACCCTCGTCCTCGTCCGTGACTGTTGGAGGTTGACCAAGCAAGGACTTGAAATGGGTGTGCCATGTGTTGATGCGGTCCTGTGGGCTGTTGCCATTAACCTGCCCCGACTTAGCTTCCGTCCGTCCGGTGATATCATTTACTATCTTCCACGCCACGCCATGTCGCTTCCCTCCAGTAGCCTCCTCGATTTGCTTCACCTTCTCGTCAATCTCCCCATCCCTAAGCCTGTCATACACTTGGAACAGATGTAACTTAGCTGCTCTGAGCTCGTCCTTCCGCACGTCTGTTTTCTCGCGTGTGAGGGTTTGTGGCAGTCGTCAGCTGTCCTCCGTGCCGCGACAACGTCCGGATGCTCCGAGTGCCGCAAGCGTCGCTTTTGCTTCACCTTGGGCATGCTCTGCATGGCCTCCTGGTTGGCTTCAACAAAAAATTTGTAGCGAGCTGTTGCCCTCTCTTCCCCGCCTTCTTCTGCCTCCTCTCCGTCCTCTTCTACTCCCTCGTCATTCAACAGCATATGGTATCGGTTCTTGACCTCCACTGTATACTGGGCTTAAAGTTCAGCGTGCGTCGAAAACATTCTCCAGTCTACCCTCTCCTTAGGTTTGCTTGCCTTCGGCCGTCTAAGACTGAGCTTCACTTTCATTGATACAACCCGGTGATCCGAATTGACAGTTTCAAACGTGCTGAACGCTTCAGCGTTAACTACACTGTTACGCCATTTACGTCGTACCAAGATGTAATTTAGTTGACACTTGTCATCAGAAGCTCTGTCCTTGTGGGTCCAGAATTTGCTAGGCCGTTTCTGGAACATGGTATTAGCCGCGAGTAGATTGTGTTCCTCGATAAAGCTGACCAAATGTTCCCCGTTCCGGTTCGTCTCATCATGGTATGTAAAGAGTGCATCGTCTCTCCCTATCCAGGCATTGAAGTCGCCGAGAAAGGTAAGGAAGTGATGCACAGGCACCTGTTCAGCTACTGCTCGGAGATCCAGGTAGAACTGTTCAACATCAGCCTCCTCACTGTGGTTGTGGGGTGAGGAGGCCACTACTACTGTGGTGGCAGGGTTGCCATCAAATGTAGCGACGAGGACGCGTGGACTGAGAGAGTTGACACTCTGGAGTGCCTTCCTTGCCCGCCTGCTGAGCAGTAGTCCGACTCCTCCTACCGCAGCCCTGGTGGTTGGGTTTCTCCACGCAGAGGATGTGATGAGATCCACCCCTTTAACCATGTCGAAACGGATCTCCTCGTCAGGATGAACACGTCTGTGCTCCTGTATGCCAAGTACATCTACACTACATCTCCTGCTACAGCTAGCCGTAGCTCTAGACATCTCCCGTATAGTACAAGCGTTGAATGTTGAGAAGGTGAGGTTCCTCTTACATTTCAACAGTTGCACAGTGGTCTTGGCTCTGGAGTCAGGCTGGTCCCTCCCAGAATGGTCAGGGTTTAAAGACCCGCCGTCATGTAGCCCATTAGGGCCAGTGCCGCGTCCAGCTGCTGTTTTCCTGCGGACTCCCGCCGCTGGAAGTATAGGATTTGGTTTGTTTCGCGTCATTTTCATTCCTTTCAATGCTATACTAACCAGGGGTCGCCGTCCTCCTGGCCGACTCAGCCGTTGGGGTCAACAAGGACCCTCATCCGCCCTTCGCTCCATCACCACCGCATGCAGCAACAACTTTGCAAGACGCAAGTCACGCCTCAGCTCGACCGTTTGGGATAGATTTCCCTCATCCGCTCTTGGTACCTCAGCACCGGGCATGAGCCGTGCCCACTATTTTATGGCATAGCTAACGAGCTCCACCTTCCCGGGTTTGGAATCAGAGTTGTCCTTCCCCTAGGCAGATCGCCGACCTAGGCTTACGAGCTCCACCTACCCGGGTTTGAAATCAGAGTTGTCCTTCTCCTAGGCGGACTTCCAACCAAGGTTGACGAGCTCCACCTACCCGAAGCAACTGGTTATAGCGCCAGAACTCGCTGACACCCTCTGCCATTCAGTAGAAACAGGAGTTTGCACGAGAAGCCAGGCAGTAGGATTTGGATAGGAGAGGCTAATGTTGAGACGCCGTGCTATACAATGGGGCACTTCAGTGGGAATGGAGCTGCTCAGTTCTCCAAACCACCCCAGCACATCCTAACCCTTCAGGGTGAATATTTTGAAACACTTTCTGACGAATCTCATGATCAAAATGGATGTGTGTCAGCCAGTGTTGTTGTCGAGGCCACAACCTCCGAGGCCGAGGCGAAGGCCGAGGCCACAACCTCCAAGGCCAAGGCCGAGGCCGAGGCCACAACCGCGTAATAAAATATAAATCACTAAAACAAGGCTAAGATTATGTTGGAGTTTTAACATCTTTTTAGTTGAATTCACTGAGTTTTGGAGTGCCCGGCTTCCAAATTTACAGCTTGCAATGGGTTTCCTCTTGAAGGGAGTCCGGCGAATTTTATTTTTTAAAGAAAGAAATCTCAAGCTTTTTACACAACCAAATTAATGGCGTTTGAATCAGGCTCATAGGTGTTTGCCCTTTGGAGATACAACAATTTAAATGGCCAAATTTTGAGTTTCTATTCTGTAAGATTTACATCATTTACTTTTAGCATGTTTTATAAATCTTATTTTCAAAACCTATCAAAATGTTTCATATCATAGAAATCCCCATTAAATAAACAACAACTTGATTTTGGAATCGGAATTTTTACCACTCATAACCAAAAAGTTACGACCCCCCCCCCCCCCGACCTTCGCACTGTCCAGGCGCGTGCCGAGCAAACACCGCGATGCGACCAGACAATGCCAGACGTCCCGCCGTTACGCACGGGCAAAGCATAGTTCCAATCCCGCTCCACACAACGGGATTAGTGTCCACGCATGTATCACTGTTAATACCGCGGTACCAGAGAAAGTCTGGCAATGGCCAATCCCGCTCCAAACAACACGGCGACACGGAACATGCGTGCATGATATCACTCAGTTCATCAAAATGACCATGAATTCTCGGATCATCCGATTTTAATCCAATGGCTTCGAAGAATTTTAAGATCATGGTAAGAGGTAGGGAGTCCAGAGGTTTTGGCCGTATAGCTGTAACCAGGCAAAATTAGTCAATTTCAAACCGTGCTTATACATGTAATAAGTATCAACATGGCTCTAAAAATACAAAAAAGTATCCTGGTACCACGAGGAATACTGACTCCTATTATTAAAACATTCATTCCGAACTTTGCATTCATTTGGATGGAAAAACGAATTCTCAAATCGCGCTTTCCATATCGACCATTTGCGCCAAACATTAACGTGTGAGCCGAACTTTCATTTAAATCACCGTGTAAAAATATAATCTACTTGATAAATCGTAATTGTTTTTCCATATCTTTATGAGAAAATAAAATGGTACGGACAAGTACACTCGATCGTACCCAGAAAGTTCAGACTTTTACTGAAACAGTGGTCTATAAAAAGATATGATTAAGCTCGCCTCACCTTGCCGCAAATCATTTTTAAAGGTCGGTGTACAGAGGCGAAACGAGAAAATTTTGTACAACCTGCAACCAGACTAGTCTACTACCACAAGTTATTGTACGCAAATGGGATTGGTGCCAGACTTATGTAGTCTGGCACGCGATAAAGCCCCTGTCACACCTTTGCGTATCCTAATTCCTTATGAGTTCCTTATCCAAAATGTTCAATACGCAGCCGTACGCTCAATTAATGTCGAAATGTTTTGATCACTTTAACTTATGTGCGACGCACATCTAGCGTACAAGTAACGAATTCATCGCATCCATTGTGTATGAGATGCGTATGAGTTGCGTATGCAGTGCACAACATTATTTTTCGGGCTGCGAATAGGTCAGTATGCAGTGCGCTTGCCGAGCGTATTCCGGACGCACCTGATTTATGCCGACCGCATGCTTGACACACTTCTGAGCGTATTCCCGCCGCATTTCCCCCGCTCGCCGTTTAGCGTGCGTTGCATCTGCGCTGCAAGTATGCTATGTATACGTCCAATACAGGCTGCTCATAATGTTGACGGGGTGCGTCACGAACACATAGCGTACTCGTAACGCACTCGACCGATGCTGGACCGATGCGCTGCGTATGTATAACTTATGACCTGCGTAACAGCGTACGCAGCAGTTGCGTAGCCACCGGGGGGGGGGGGGGGCGTGGGGGGGCGACCGCCCCCCCATGAAACCTTGTCACCCCCCCCCGCCACTGAGATTTAGAGTTTCTAAACAAATTATCATTGATCTAAATCTAAATAGTCGCGAATGATCCACATGATGACCACTGAGAAACGACCCTTCGACCGGAAACCGCGGACAAGTAAGCTGACAACTGGCGTGACATAGCGCATAATGATAATTATATTAACACCCACTGCACTGCTCGCTCACACCACGGAACACGTATTATAGAAAGGTGGTTCGTGAGTTTCAGTCTGCGATATCACGCGAATCGGCCATGCACAAACTTTTTCCTCCATTCATATAAGCTAAATAATAATAAAAGACCAATTAAAATTCCTTGAAATCTGTGGCGTAGCCACGGGGGGCCGTGGGGGCGACAGCCCCCCCCCATGAAACCTTGTCGCCTCCATTGCCCCCCCCCCCCCCCCCCACTGAGATTTTGAGTTTCTAAATAAATTATCATCGATCTACATGACGCCATGGGCGTCAATCCTGGGGGGACAGGGGGACTGGTCCCCCCCACTTATTGAAGGGTGGGGGACACAATATCAAATGTCCCCCCCCCCAGATTTTTGAACTCGTGTCTCATTTACAGGGCCCTATTATGTACTACAATGTATCTTTTGCTTAGAAAATATTGGTTAAAGTGGTCAGAAATTGCCTCAGAAAGCACCACAGAGCATTTGGAATCAAATTTTTTGGTGGCCCTTAAGCGGGCCCCGAACCCAACGTCTATAGCTCAGAATTCTGATAGCTGATTCAATGACCCCCACCTCGAAAACAATGTTCAAAAAATTATCTTATGCCTTTAGCTGAGAAAAACTCGAAAATAATGTTTAAATTATTATCTTTTGTGCTAAGATAATTATTGGTTAAAGTGGTAAGAAATTGCCTCAGATCACACCACAGAGCATCGAGAATCCAATTTTTTTCGGGGCCCTTAAGCGGGCCCCGAACCCCCACGCCGTAAGGGCTTCGCGCTCGCATCAGTTCTGATCAAGGTATGTCCCCCCCCCCCACTTTTGAGAAGCGATTGACGCCCCTACATGACGCCCCCCCCCCCCTCATGAAATTTTCCAGCCCCCCCCCCCCCCCCCACAGAAAAATTCCTGGCTACGCCACTGGTACGCAGCGTAGTTTTGTGCATGCCCAAAACTATCCTGCGTACTGGGCCGTACCATGCGTATATCTGCTTACATAAAACCTACACAAAACGATAGAGATGCATATGAGGTGCGTATTGAGCGTACGACTGCGAATGAAACAAATGTCAATGCGCAACTCATAAGGAATTAGGATACGCAGAAGTGTGACAGGGCCCTAACAGTTATAACGCTTGCACGCACGTGGAAAGCTGAAGCGCAAGCTAGGCGAAGATGCTACGTACGTTCATTGCAACCATTTCCAGTTCATTCGTGCGTACATTGTATATGCGTTCGTTTCACGGGACCCACTGCGGCAGAATCATCTCGAGGGTTTGATACGGTAAAAAATTGAAATTAATTAGAATAGAAAACACATCAACATGGGCGGCATCGAGCCGGCCTCGACCGATTCGCCGAGGCCGGAAGGCTCCGAGGCCGAGGCCAAGGCCGAGGCCTTTGCACCTCCGAGGCCAAGGTCGAGGCCGAGGCCATGACAATCGGCCTCAAGACCTCCAACACTGGTATCAGCTATGAAAAAGAAATCTTTTTTTTATCAGAGAAAGGAGGTAATACCTTTCAAGAACTAAACAATAATTAACAGTAATCACTTTGGAATATGTTGACCATAGGAGCCAAGGTTTTGATATATTGAAGTACTGGATAAGCCATCCTGAACATATGTACTAAAAAAGATGTTATCTATCATCGTAGCGGACTTTTGAGCGATTCTGGTTGTTTTTTTCTAAAACTAAAGAAAAGCTAAGTGAGCAAAAAGAGTTGTTGAAACGTGTTTGTCGGAGAGTTAGTATTTAAATAACTTCAAAATTAAGTAATATTTCGATATAAAAATGCACAAAACAATTAATTATGAACGACCTTCATGTGCCCAAATTTCAGCCTGATGTGATTTTTTATTTAGAAATGGGAGCACAAAACCTTTCAATTCAATTATCTCCAAAAGTGATTTTCTGTGTGCCTGGGCTGCTAACGTCCTTTTCCTTGGCACACGACGCAACTGTCAACAGCGCTGAAAGATCTTTCTTCGGCTCGGGAATATACCACTTACAAAGAGTTATGTTGCACGTCAATCTGTATACGCTCAGCCAAAAGGAATTTTCGGCGGCGGTTAAGTTGTGCTGAGCTGCCCGGCTATCACGGCTTAATGAGCCAGTTTGAGCACACTTGTTTTGGTCTCAAGTTTTGGGTAATTGTTTGAGAATTT